GCTGGGCAGTTTATTAATAGGATTCTGATTATTACACAAATTAAATCTTAATATTACTTTTGACACTATGAAGTCTAATTTTAAAACATCCATGCTATGACTAATTTCTTAGAAAGAAAAAAAGAAACACTGAATTCTGACCACTGATGTTCAATTGGAAATCTCATTGGAACACAGTATACTAGTAAAATGGCTCAAGTCAGGTAAACATAGAGACCCCTGAAAGGTCATTAGAAAGCCCAAAGTAAGATTTTTTTTTTATAAAAAACAGGGTCCTATAATTTGGATATGAGTTAGAAAATTAATCTTGTGTTTGTGCCCTATCCAGGGGACTCCCCAGATTCTGAACTTGAGCTAGACGAAGAGGAAGCCATGAGGTGCTATTTGGTCAGTCTTAAGTGGATTCTATATCCTTGGGTCTCCCTCTACCTAGAACCTCTTATTTTATTGTCCCCTCTTTTAGGTCAATTTTCCTTTGATTTGGATATACTGAGGTTTGTTGAGAAGGATTTTGGAGAGATTAACAAAGTTCCAAGAGTGAAATTACAGTGTGTTATGTGTGTGTGTGGGGAAAATTCATCTTATTTTTTCTCTACATAGGGTACAATGCTGTGAAATTCAGTCTTCAACTGATGGCCCTGCAGTTCTCCTAAAACATAGATCTTTGTTTCATTCTTTAACAAAGTTTAAACTAGTGTTAATAAATTAAAGAGAGAAACTGCTTGTCTGTCCACTTCAGCTTTGTTTTAAGTCCATTTCATATTGTTGTCTGTGTTGTAATTCATACTTTTGATACCATTTCTGATGTGTAAAATTGGTTGTCTTGCAAATATCTTATAAAGACTTCAATCATAAATAAACTACTGTGGCTGTTAGAAAACAAATAAACAAACCCAACAGGGTTCTGGTTTTCTTCTTTTGTGCGTGAGTGCTCAGGGACCTCCTAAAAAGGTTCCATGGAAAAAAGGAAATGTGCCTGATGGAGAGCTGTCAGAATATTCTGTCTGTACGGTACACAGCTCTTAAGATTCGTTATTTGATCATGAAACAACACTTCCCACGTTGT